AGATTTGTGCACATTTGTTTATGTTTTACAGAAACAAAACTTAAAACCACATGGCTAATCTGCATAAACTATAAGTGCTGAAAAAAACAGCTCGCTCCTTGTGCACTGATGCAGTCAGCTTCAGTCTGACAAATTGCCTGGCACAACTCCGCATGTATTCGCCCTACACGAGTGTAAATCTGCAACTTTTGGATGTGTAATTTTTAGAATGCATTGAAAGTGAATGAGGGCGGCTCCACTGCATGCGCTAGGCGCGCATATGGAGCAGCACGTCCTGCACGGGTAGATTTCAGAAAATAGGATCCCTCCTATTTTTTGGCGCTTTGATGTGTAAACACTGACACGTGCAGTGGAGCCAGGCCCCAACTCCACAAGGCTCCTGACTACAGTAGTCGTAATGCTCCAAGGTGTGGCTCAAAAGGTGTGGCTTTGTAGTTGTCGTACTAAAACATTTTGACAAATTTTGAGCGTTGTGTACCACATAAAATCAGTTTGAGGTCAGTAAACACAACCAGAATTAATACATATGGAGCCCTGGATTATTAGACTCTGTCGATTTTTGAATAAATTTAAGGATTTTAAGTGTATTTGTAGTCCGAAAAATACGGTAATTTTAGAAATATATGGGAGGTGGTAATCTTTTCACTCTGTTGTAATTATTTGTTTAACAGTGTTTCTTGTATCTTTTGGACTGGAGCTTATGGCACTACCAGCAATCTAATGCATGTTTTATTCAGAAAAGGTGCAATATTACACAAAAAATGACCCTTGTGAGCTTTTAGCTGTGTTATAATGATGTTACGTCCTCAAAAATAGACCTGGAGATGTGCTTTGTTTCAATCTCACATTTTTGAGTAACTGTTTATTAGTCTGTCTACATCTCCAAAGCTCAACATGCTCTGTACCACCTTGTGATGTCATGAAGTTGTAGTTTTCAGGTTAACAGTAATGTTTTACTTTTAGTTCAGTAAATACTGGCATTTCCAGATGATTCTAGTGAAGGTGTACTGAGTTTAAAATCACAGTAGAGCACTTCCTCAAGGTTCAAGGTTCAAGGTTCTTTATTTTTGTCATTCAAACATGTGAGAGAAACACATGACAGAACGAAATGTGCTCCCCGAGGCCCAGTGATACAGAAAGAGATAAAAAAAAACAACAACAATAATAATAATAAGCCATGTTAAAAAATAAATACATTTAAAACAACAACATTTAGCAGTTCCAATGAACAAGTAGTAAACGTGGCAAGATAGAGAAAGAGGCAACCAAAGCAGGAAGTCAGTGTGCACTCTTCAAAAGTCTGACAGCCTCAGGAAAGAAGCTGAACTTCAGCTGAGATGTTCTGGCGTTAATGCTCCTCAGTCTCCTCCCAGAGGCAGAGGAACAAACAGATGGTGGGAGGGGTGCGAGGGGTCCCCCATGATCCTGGAGGCCCGTCAGTGAGCTGATGTGGTCGTGGAGCTCCCTAAGTGCATCGCCTGCGTTCGCACTCGGAGGTACGTAAACAGCCATGACAAACACCACCGTGAACTCCCGGGGCAGATAGTATGGTCGACATTTAACCGTAACATATTCAGAAGCCTCCGAGCAATGACTGCTTACATGGGTACAGTTGTTACACCAACCCCTGTTGATGTAGATACAGAGGCCCCCCCCCCTTTTCTTTCCCGAAAGGTGGTTGCGGTCCGCCCGAAACAGAGTCAGCCCATCAAGTCTGAAATGCTACATCTGGCATGGTGCTATTAAGCCAGGTCTCCGTAAGGATGTAAGCGCAGCAATTTTCCATGTC